CCTCTTTTCAATGCACTACTATTTATTTAGGTTATTTAGAAGAAATAATTCAAAATGTTTTTTTTTGTCTATCGTTCAGTGAATATTTCGATTTCGTTTGGATCACTTCTACTTCGTTCAACTATCGATTTATTACTAACAAAATAATTGAAACTGATGAAATTCTTAAACCAGAAGATCATGTTCTAAAAAAAGACTTTCACGTTTTTATAAACGAAATCCGTTCCGTTAGTTAAACATCTATCGAATAGATTTTATCCTGACTCTCATTTATTCTAAGGATACACTCGATTTCATATGGAATTTTCTCTACCTTTCAACGAATTCATTCTTTTTATTTTTCTTTTTAACTAGATCATACAACAAAAAGGATCGAAATAAATCCGATAATAGAAATTCTATAACAACAAATAAACGATTCAATGACACACCATCATTTATAGATAGTACAGATTTAAATAAAATCTAAATCGTTAAGAGTTAGATACATTCACAATTGATTCATTCAACAGAGATTAAATTACTCAAATAAACATCTTTATCATAGAGACATACACATTCAACTTTATTTAATTCATCTTTAAATCATCTTTTTCGACAATTTATTTTAACTCTTCTCTCTTTTTTCCACAAAAGTTTTATGCGAAATATTGTTTTATCTAAAAACAAGATTCAATCTTGATTTAAAATAAAAATCAGTCAATCTAGTTATGAAATAATTCGTTTAGAAAACTCCTTATTGATTCGGGAGAAAATTCCAACTATTTAAATAAAACTCTTTTTTATTTATCATTTCAACTTTTATCTTCAACATATTCTATTCAATCTTTTTATTTATCTAACGAGGAGATTTTTCGATCGAAATCCTAACATTTGATCACTTTTTCTCTAACTGATCAATAAGAATTCTATTATCATTTAATATGTCAAATATTCAATTCTATGTTCAACATTTAACATCAATTATATGATAAATCTATCGAAATATTTTCTATTTATTGATCGAATTAGTCAAATTATGTTAACGATTGATAAAAAAAAATGTGGAAACTTCGGATTTAAATCCGAGAGTTATGTGTACTTAAAAAAGTCAATCAGACAGATAAGTCATCCGACCAATGTCTTCACATCAAAATTATCCTGGTAAAACTTCCCTATAAACACTTCATTTCTATTGGCTAATGATCAACCAATGAGATTTCGAGGCGAATGGAACACAGATTCGAGTTCTTCACCCTAGAAAATCTCGAACTATCATCTCTCCGATCGGAAGATAGATCTCGATTTCTAGATCACATAGAGCGTGGAAGAAAACAGAACCAAGTTCCCTTTAATTATCTTTGCAATAGCTGAGTTAGCTTTCTTGTTTCCTTTTGTTTTATATCCGATTTTGTAGCTCGTAAAATTCTCTATCGAATGGTATATAGTAATTGGGGTTTTATTTGACTATGATAGGAAAAGTTTTTAAGGAAAACAGAGAAGGGTCTATCTTCTCATAGGGAAAAATGGCTATTTTTCCAATAACTCACCAATGACTCGGCTGATTATGCTCATCTTCTTCTCTCGACCGAGACATTGTTAGGACTAAACTGTGTAGAAAATTTCATCGTGATCTGACTAGACATCGGCATCACCATGGCAACTGGTCACGACAGCGCTAATATCTATGGAAGCAAGAGTTGATTGTGGCGCTATCGTGACCAGTTGCCATGGTGATGCCGATGTCTAGATCTGACTCTCCTTTCAAAAGTTATCGTGTAAACGGCCAGACGGCCGGACACACTGACCGATTGTGGAGTCTAGCAATTTTTTGAGTACACAAAAAAAATATCAATCATTATGGAATTTTAATGAAATTCAACAATAAAGAAATAAACGTTCGCTGTAAAAATTCTTCACCTCTGAATAAGCTTTCGAAACATCAAGTCATTTCTTCATATGAGTGTTTCCATCGAATAGAAAATAATAAATACTGACCGTTATGGAATTTCATCTTTTTTTTGACATTCTAATGGAGAAGGTTGACGAATATGAAATTTAAAATGGTTATAATAAAAATGCGGAAACCTCGGATTTAAATCCGAGAGTTATGTGTACTTCAAAAAGTGAATGAGACAAATCGGTCATCCTAGAATGTGTGGATATAAAGATTACCCCCGGCAAACCCTTTCTATAAACACTTGAATTCTATTGGCTACTGCTCAATCAATAGGATTTCTGGGTGAATACAGAGAAGATTTGAACTCTTCGCCTTGAGTTATCCTCATAAAGTCCTTTTTCCTATAACTTGATTTCTATTGGTTAGTGCTTAACCAATGTGGCTTCGAGTCAAGTGGATTACAGATTCGAGTTCTCCATCTCAGAAAACCTCGAAGTATTATCTCTGTAATCGGAATATAGAGCTCTAATGGTGGATTGATTAGAGCGCAGACAAAAACAGAGTCGATTTCCGTTGATTTATCCTTGCAATAGGTGTGCTATCCTTCTTATTTCTTTATGTTTTATATACCATTTTGTAGCTCGTGAAATTCTCTATCGAATGGTATATGATAGTTGAGGTTTTATTTGACTATGATAGGGAAAATGTTTTACGAAAGTGGGGATAGGTCGATTTTCCTATAAGATGCCGTAGGGAAAAATGAGTATTTTTGCAATAACTCGGGAATGGCTCGGCCAATCGTTCTCATCTTCTTCTCTCGACCGAGACATTGTTAAGACTAAACTGTGTAGAAAATTTCATCGCGATCTGGCTCTCCTTTCAAAAGTTATCGTGTAAACGACCGGACGGTCGGACACACTGACCGATTCTAGAGTCTAGGAACTTTTTGAGTACACAAAAAGACAAAACAATTAAAGTATACTTATTATGTGTTCGTACAACTGTTCTCTTATAGAGGATATTGTCGGATTAAATTAAAATCATACGATTCATCGTTAACAAAAACAAATATCAATATAACACATTCGTTTTATTTTTTGATAATTTACACTTGTAAGAGTATGATCAATAATAGTTCCCGATTGTGGATTTTCTATATTACGGACCTTCTTGTTGAAAAAATCGAGCATTATGACGTTTTTTTTTACAATTAACGACAGTTAGTTTTGGTTGATAATCAGACTTCATCTAAGGAAAAACTAATTAAATCTATAGATAGAGAGAGATTTTTGTTATTGATTTAAATCATATTTAAAAACGTTACTCGTGTTTCTTATAGATAATATTATTTAAATGCATCGAAATAATTATAAAATAATAACGAAACATTTATTTATTGAAATATTTTCATCTTAATAGACTTTTTTTACAAAGAGATAAACCATGCAGAACGTTCTTCTCTTCTACCTTGATAAATAAGACCTAAATAGAATTTTCTTTATATTAAATTTGTTGATGCGAGAAATGCATCTAGAGATGTACCACGACGTTTTTAATCTAAACAAGGACAAAAAAACCTTTCAATATAATATTGCTAATATTCTATTATGAAACATAACGAAAATTCTTTTTATTCAAAAATCTATCTGTCAAAACAAAAAAAAAACAACGAAAGATATTATATCAAATAATAGCAGGAATATGAAAAGGAACGTTTTTTGTTTTGTATTTTGACTGAGAAAAATTTTTCTAACTGTTAGTCTAACGTTGTAGATCTCTCGATGATAGATATATTAGGGTATAGATAGAGAGAATTTCTCAATAACGATTATATCAATAAATTCCTAGAAGTATATTAGTTTTTCTTGGACATTTCTATAGACCATAGTTCACCATCTAATTTCCCATTTATTTCTATATGAATTTTTGTTGGAATAGACATTATTTGATAACGTCATGCTAGTGCTTTTTTTGCAACGAACCATCGAAAATAAAATAATAAATTATTTAATTAAAAAAAAATTGACTTGTGATGATAGAGGATAATCAAGAAATAAAAATTTTTTAAATGTATCATAACGATATTTTCGATTATTCGATAATGCACATATAAGACAACGGTCTCCAATAAATATTTTAATGCTTGAAGATAACGGTTCAGCTAGATCATTTATTCATTGCTCTTGAAATAAATGTGGAAACCTCGGATTTAAATCCGAGAGTTATGTGTACTGAAGAAAAGTGAATGAGACAAATTGGCCATCCTAGAATGTGCGGATATAAAAATTAGCCTGGCAAATCCTTTCTATTAACACTTGAATTCTATTGGCTACTGCTCAACCAATAAAATTTCAGGGTGAATACAGCTTAGATTTGGACTCTTCGCCTTGAGTTATCCTCATAAAGTCCTTTTTCCTATAACTTGATTTCTATTGGTTAGTGCTTAACCAATGTGGCTTCGAGTCAAGTGGATTACAGATTCAAGTTCTCCATCCCAGAAAACCTCGAAGTATTATCTCTGTGATCGGAATATAGAGCTCTATTTGTGGACCGATTAGAGCGCAGACATAAACAGAACCGATTTTGGTTTATTTATCTTTGCAATAGGTGAGCTAGCCTTCTTGTTTCTTTATGTTTTATATCCGATTTTGTAGCTCTTGAAATTCTCTATCGAATGGTATATAATAGTTGGGGTTTCATTTGACTACGATAGGGAAAGTATTTTACGAAAGTGGGAATAGGTCGATTTTCCTATAGAAAGCCATAGGGAAAAATGAGTATTTTTGCAATAACTCGGGAATGGCTCGGCCAATCGTTCTCATCTTCTTCTCTCGGCCGAGACATTGTTAAGACTAAACTGTGTAGAAAATTTCATCGTGATTGGACTCTTCTTTCAAACGTTATCGAATAAACGGACGGCCGGACACACTGACCGATTTTAGTAGTGTACTCACTTTTTGAGTACACAAAAAAAATCGTTTGAATGTTGTTGTTCTATTCAATATTAAAATAACGTTCCATATAAGAATATTCAACATGCATTCATATTCAATAATAAAACACGACAATTTGTTTTTATCAAAAAACATTAAAAAAAAACAAAAGTTTGATGAAAAATATTTTACCAAATAGTTGATAAACATTGCATAACTCCATCAATAAGTCCTAATGAAATTTGTTCGTCTCGTCCTGGACAATACTACAATACAATTATCAAGAGATTTACCACTAATATAACGCATATAACGACCTTCAGAACTCCAATCTATAGAAAACAACAAATATTTTTTCATCTGAAGCATCGAAAATTAATCTTGAGAAAATGCTTGTATATGTGAAACTGGTAATCGTTTTACTATGTTAGAATTTCCTAACTTAAAAGACAATAGTTGACAGATAAAAGTCATTTTTATTATTAATAAAAATAAATTGTTTCTTTAAAAAAAATTGTCAAATCTAATGTTTCTTGATAAAACCGTATGAGATAGTAGTTCATGTAACTAGAACATTGGAACTTTTGATTTGTTACTGAGATGCATCATCAAATAGTTTGTTAGTATATGAATGAATAAGTTTTTATTAAATAATATAATAAACTTCTCTGATCATTAATGTGTGAAAGACGTGTCAGGAATGGGTAGATGTCTCATCGATGAAACATCAGCTTGTATGGTTGAACTGCTTGCCAAGCTAGGTATGTAACACAAAGTATGTATGTTCGAATCTAACCTTCCTCACTTTGCTTCTATAATTTAGACGAGTCTGGACACCAACATCTGACTCACAAAAGAACCGGTTTCAGACGTTATGAATGACTAGTAGTTGTATAATGTATAGCATGCAGTTAGCAATATGATCGATATGCCCAAATATATTTTTCAATTTTTAAATATATCGGACGGGTGTCATGACGGACTGTTAGGACTAGTCCGAAGACGATAGGATTGAGATACGAGACTAAATATTTTTGCGTCAAACGGGCGTCATGTCGACGTGTCTTGACTAGTCATTCTCTCAAAAAGTGATCCCACATGGCTAGTCTCTTTCAACAACTGTTAGTAGTCAGGACTAGTCGTTTTTGTAAATATGATTAGACTGTATTGAAATACTGACACCCGTCTGCGGGCTGGTCAGGACGCGGTGTACGGACTCCCAATAATATTGGACTAGTCATGTCTAGGCCGTTTTGAGAAAAAGACTAATGACTGACGGGGCGTCATGACTGATGAAACTATCTAGTCTTTTTACCCGTCTTTTGCTCTCCTGTGTTAACATATCTCTTTTCAACTTTATTAATAATGAGTCTGATTATTCTCATAAGTTATTATCGGGTAAGAAAACGTAATATAAGAAAAAGTGTGAATTTACATGATTTAGAAACATGTTTCCAT